GGGATTGAACCAGTGAGCTTGTTTGTCTGAAGCCCTCTGCACAATGATGATAGTGGTGACCGTGCAATGGGTGTAGGCTGGATGTCACAGCTAGGAGATCTAACAAATTCAAGAGAACAATCCCTTGTGAAAGGTAAAGGCAGGGAAAAGACAATGGTATAAGCGAGAAGAGGGGTGATATTTGTAATGATGGGAAGAGACAAAACAACAAATTCTATGTTTTTCTTTTCAACGGTAGGTGACAGAAATACTCTTCAACGGCAGAAGCACCTACAAAATCACACGTGATAGCTACGACAACAACAGTACCCCTCAAAGCCCCAAAGCCGAGGCTACCTGAGGCGTTCGTTGCGAGCGAGAAAAGGCAGCAAAGTCATCGCAACACACGAGATCAATTTCGCAGCCATTGGATGCACGGCTTGTAGCCACGCTTATGGCCCCGAGCAAGATACGACACGCGTATGGCTTGTAGCTACGCTTATGCGAGGCCCGGCATTGGAGTGGATATTTGCAAACAGTTCCTTTGTCCGAGTCGAAGGGACGCGAGAGAATTTTTGGGCAACTATGAGGGTACAACCCGAAATGAATGATTTAAATGGAATTCAAAACAAATTTCCCTGATACTTACAAGTACGTAAGCTTGCTCATGCGGCCGATGGAGGATGGAATAGACCCGGTCAACCTGTTGTCGGGTAGACCGCTGATGGTACATATACATGATGGGTTCCATCCAATGGAAAATAGAGATAAAGTAATTGGTCGGAGGAAGAGAGAAGTAGAATGATTTCTAGCCATGACATGTCAACATATAGTCACGAAACCTTACATAGACTCAGTTTGACAGTTATGGGTGACTCAGTCTGTGATTGTAACACGATGTACCTAACCTAGCAGGCACCTCCAAGCGTAGACACAAAAAGGTGTTCTATGAATCAGCACTAGATGTGTAACATTTTTTTGTAAAGAGAAGATAGCATAAGCAATAATGGGCAAGAGATACCATAAGATGCGCTGGTCTGAAGTGCTACAAAAGCACGCAAAAAATGTACAGCTCAAAGCAGCAGTGAGGAAGCCCATCTCTACATGCTCCCACTCATGTGTGCATGCTCCCACTCATTCTCACAGATAACTCAGACTGTCCAAGGCACCGATGGATTTTGGAATGGATCCGGTCAAACCTTCGTAATACAAATAGCTGGTGGACAACAGAATGGAATGGGTGGGGAACACTAAAAATCTTATGAGGAAGCATGTTCAAGGATGAAAGAAAAGGAGAGATCGGTGTATTGGGTACTATTTGAATAGAGGCCTATGCAACCCATCTGCTTTCTACCTATGCTGACATGCACGGGTTGAGTGGGTTTGGAGCCCGAAATTCAAATGTTGAGACATCTGCGACTCGGAGTTGAGATTGCCACATCGCGAGTAAATTTTGAGAGAAAAAAAAAATCGGCTGCCTAAAATTTTGTTTGGCAAATTTACAATTTGTACGCAAAGTATGAATTTGGTGAGTATAAGCGCGAAACACAAAATCAAAGAAGCGTATATTCCAACTTAGTATCATAGAACTTCCAGACTTCTGCCTGCCCTGCTCTCTCTCTCTCTCTCACTCTCTCTCTCTCTCTCTCTCTCTCTCTCTCTCACACACACACAAACAACAAAACCAGAAACCTACCACCTGCTCAAACTCCTACCCTCTCCCGCCCCCCCTCCATCCGACCCTAGTGGTCGAATGGGGGCTCGATCAGCTGGTGAAGCTGCCCCTCACTAAGAGGGACAATGGGGCCCCACAGGCCGAGCTCGTCCGCAGCCAAGGCCTCGTTGGTCTTGGAGCGGAGGGCGTTGGCCTGGGCTCGTTGGCCTGGGCGCTGACGGTACTCTGTCAGCAGCTTGGCAGCCTCGTATGAGGTAGGAGCCGCGTTGTACCTCAGCTTGGCCGCCAACTCCGCGCACTGCTGCAGGTAGGCCATCACCCCCGGGGATGGGTAGCCATAAGTTTCAACTGCAAGGGCATGGAAGCCCACCCACGCGTTCCGCCGCGCATATTTCTCCTCCTTCTTTGCCGCAGCTGCCCTTGCCGCCCATCCAGGGGCCCTGTTGCAGAGTTCGTCCTGGTGGGACACGGGATCTGTCACGGTCACATCACACATCCACACCTCTCCCGTCAGGGGATGGCGGATTGTGACGTCCGCCTTTAGGTTCTCAACGAGAGAGTACACATAAGTCTCCTTGTGCACCGTGAAGCCCGCCTCAGCTCCAATCAAGGCAATCTCGTCCCGGAGTGCATGGTGAGTCGCAATCCGTCCTCCCCCTTTCTCGCAGCGCATGAGGTGGTTGGGGAGGCGGTCGTCCGGGAAGGTGGTGCGGTACCGACAGTCACAGCGCCTGGGCACGGGGAGGGGGAGGCCGAGGCGGAAGGCTGCTGCAGAGGAGAGTTGGGAGGGTCCCATTCGCAGCGACGGGATGATTGGCAGCGCCAGCAGCCAGTCTCCTGCTCCAGGGCCTAGCACAGACTGCACCCTCTGGGCGTTGTCAGAGAGGGGGTTGGGCCGCATCTGCCTTGCCTCCTCCAGGACCCCCAGGTAGTGGTGGGTGTGGACCGCCAGAGCGAGGGCTTGCTGCAGCTTGAGGCCATCGGGATTGGCTTTCCCCGCCTGGAGGGGCTCCAGAGCCTCTAGTGGGAGGGCTGCTTCTGCCGCTGCAAGCCGCGTTGGGAGGTTATGGGCAGAGCCCGGATCAGGGTCAAAAAGGGGGAGGAGGGAGGTCACATCGGGGTGCAGTGTGTCGGTCAGGGAGCGAAGCAGGTGGGAGGTTCCCACCACCGACGCCAGGTAAGCGTAGCTCCCTTCAACAGCGGGGTTAGTGATGCCGAGCCCCTCCAAGGTGACAGGTAACGCCGCTTGCCGCCAAATCCGCCCCTTCTCCGCATCACTCCTTGGGCAAGCGATGTGCGCCGCTTCCAAGAAAGTGTGTAGCAGCCGCTACCCCTACGCCGACCATTCTGCTTCAGGTAACGCCGCGAGGGGGGTTGTCCTGGCGAGGAATGAGGCCTGCCGGCTCACACAGCGGGTGAGAAGGAGGAGGCTCACTTGGGGGTCCATCTGGGATAGGAGCGGCAGGGGTTCCGCCGCAGACTCCAGCCTTTCCCTCACGCGCGCAGCGCAGCCAGCGGCGGTGCCGATTGGGCTCCCAAGGACCCGGAGCCCCTCCGCCGCGATGGAGATGTTGGGGGGGAGGTAAGCGGGATCGACGGCGGCTGCGGACCAAGCTTCGCACTTCGCGAGGTTGTGTTCGAGGCCCAAGCATTTCAGCTCCGTGGTAAGGTAGGCGAAGGCAGCCGTGCATGCTGCCGCGTCGCCTAGAAGGGTGATGTCATCCGCGTAGGCGAGGATGACAACTTGAGGGTGAGCTGCTGCGGTGGCGATTAAGCAGGGGTGGATGCTTGCCGCGAAGAGCAAGGAGCCGAGGGGGTCCCCCTGGCGGACGCCTCTGGCGCTTTGAAGTGGCGCCACACCGAAGTCGTGGTCGAGGTGGAGAGCCGAAGGAGCCCCATACGAGAGGCGGACTAGGGGCACCAGGCTTCCTAGAGCGTCGTTCCTCAGCCCCTCGAACACCGCCGCCCTCTCCACCGCGTTGAAAGCGTTGGCGAGGTCAATCTGCAACGCCACGGCGCCCGCGTTTGCCTCCAAGTAAGTGCGCGCGGTGTGGATAGCCGCCTCAATCCCTCCAGCTACGGCCACTCCGAATTGCAGGGGCGCGAAGTGCGCTCGCGCCGATGCGGCTGTTAGGAACAGGGCGGCTTTCGCGACTATGCGCTGGAGGCATTCGCCCACTGCTATCGGCCGAGTTCCCCCCTGCGGCTTCGTGAATGCCAGGAGGCGCGAGGCGGTAAGTAGATCCGCGGCTTCGGCTCTCAACTTCCCTGCCAGCGCCGTATTGGTGAGCGCGAGGAGGTGTGTGAAAATGTCAGGGTTTCCGAGCGCAGCGTCCCGGATGTGCTCGAAGGTAGTCCCTGAGGGCCCAGCCCCTACGCCATTTGGGAGTTTGGCGATGATGCGTCGGAAATCGCGAGGCTCTATTGCTGGTGTGGCCGTGGGGGAGAAGTCATGCACCCACTCAGGTAAAGGGAGGAGTGCTTGTGGATGCCTGGCCGCCAGGGCTGCGAGCACCTCAGGAGAAGCCGGTGAGACGGGGGTGGCTTGGAGTGACTGGAGTGATTTGGCGAGGTTTCCTCGCTTAGCCAGTCCTTCCGCTCTGGCGAGAATCCCTTGCATGTCAGGTGCGTGGCGGGGTTGGGGTGGGAGGGAGATTACTTCTACCGCTTTGTCATACAGACTGGACCAAAAACCTTGACGAAAGCGGAGGAGTCTGTTCATCATTGCTCGTCAGTCAGGTTTGCGGGCTGACGAAGTGCGAAGAAGAATTCGCGGGAGGAAGATCAGTAACTTCCACCCTGGGGTTGAGTTGGGATTGGCTGCCAGGTGGAGGAGTGGAGTCAGGAGGCAGGCAGCGAATGATTCGCGAAGGTCTTTAGGCGGGTGTCTGGCGAGGGGAGGCTGACGACTGTCGCGGAGGGGGTGGAGGTCCCAATCTGCAACCTGTGCGAAGAGGTCCAGTATTTTCGCCAGGTCTGCAGCGTTTATCATTGGTGGGGTGGGGGTTTGGGCTTCAGGGGTCCCATCGGTTGCGGCCAGGGTTGGGTGTACTTGCAGGCGCGGCTCGATTTCCCCTCCGAGTCGAATTTCCCCCTGCGGCTTGATTTCCCCCTGCGGATTGATTTCCCCCTGCGGTCCGATTTCTTGCAGGCGTACGCGTTGCAGACGCGACACCAGTTTCCTGGTTGGGAAATTCCACTCCGTGTTGCAAGAGCTTCACTTCCTCCCCAGCCTCTAGATCTGAAATCCCCTCCGATTCTGGGATAAAACCGGGGTCACCCCCAACACTCTCGTCATTCTCAGAATCTCCGTCGCCTCCCTCGCTAGCTGCTCCTTCTCCGTCTCTCACGCGTTCGCGAAGAAGTCTCTCTGCAGTTCTCGCATAACCGCTTGCACCACTCCATCGCCCGCCTCCTTGGTAGGTTCTCCCTCCGCGCCGACCTCTGCGCCTTGCGCGTCTTCCGACAGGCGTTCCACGCGGCGTGCCCCTGCCACAGTTTGTTGGCATTCGATTTTCGCCGACTACATCCCTCACCATCCGAGGCTCTGGCGTCCTCGGTTCACGCCTCGGTCGTGATGGCGGCGTCCGTGGGTCGCGACCGCGCCTTCGAGGCAACCGCGGAGAGCGCTCAGCACGAGGTGGCGCCAAATCCAGAGCATGCGCCTCCGCGTCCCCAGGCCCCAGCTCGACCCGCCGCGTCCGAGCCCGTGCGTCGCCTCGTGCGCGGGATGTCTCTCCCGCCGCGTGGGGGAGACCGTCCTGCATCTCCTGAGCAGTTGCGCTCTCCCGCCGATGTGGCGTCGAATGCTGAGCCGGCGCGTCAGGATCAAGGTCGGTCTCCGCAGCGCCGCCAAGCTCGCCCCGCGTCCCCTGTGTATCAGTCCCCTGGGCCCCTCGAGTAGCGCCGGCGGTGGGAGGAGTACCAGCGCGATCTTCAGCGCCGCGACCGCCGCTACCGCTCTCCTCCGAGGTCGCCGGGAAAACACTCGCCACGGCATCAGTCTCCCCATCAGCATTCGCCTCGTCGGGGACGCGGAGCTCCCGCGGGGCGCGGAGATGCTCGCCGCAGGGGTCCGTCCCCGTCTCGTCCTCAGTCGCCAGGGAATGGCGGACGTCGTGGGCGGCGGAATGGTTCTCCGCGTGGCGGGGGAAACCGCGGCCGGGGCTCCGCGATAGACCGTGCGGCGCAAGTGCTGGCGGAGGCGGTGCTGGCGCAAGCGGGGAGGGATGCGCCTCGACTTCATCTGTCCGTGGCCTCGGAGCCCCTCCCTGCTTCTGGCATGCCTGAAGCAGCTCCGTTGCGCGCGCCAACTCTGCGGGAGTATCAGCCAGCCGCAGCGGCGCGGGGACCGTTCCGCGGGCGCCGCCAGGCCCCTGGTTACTCCGCCCCTCCGAATTCTCTTGGCCCCGCTCAAATCCAGGTGGCGATGTATCCGCCGCGCGGAATTCCGGCTGCACCTCTCCCCAGCCGCGCGGGGAGAGACCCCACGATGAGCCTGTGCCGCATGTGGAACTTAGCGGGGGCGGCTGAAGGGGTGGCGATTTTGCAGCTGGCGGCGTGTGAGGCCATGCGTCACACACCGAGCAGTTTTGCTCAAGTGCCCCAAGGACAGTGCGTCTCTTGGGCAGCAACGATTCTCCCCCTTTTATCGCCCGTGTCGGAAGCGCCCGCCGGGGTAGCGCCCTTAGCTCGTACCTGTTGACGCGAAAGGCCCTGCACGAGCCTGTTTTCGTGTATGAGGGCATTGAGCGAAAAGTGTCCGCGCAGCAGAGCGTGTTCCAGCAGCCGCGAAAATGTTCGCGCTGCATGCTGGTTCGCGTCTGCGCGGGATCGAGATTTTCGCGTCTGTGCTGGGCGATTTTCGCGCCCCTGGGAGGTTTCGCGTTGGATCACCGTTACGGGATTTTTCCCGCGGTTACGAAACGGCAGGAGGCGCGGAGAAGTTGTACATGGCGAAATTTGGCTAAGTCCTGACTCCTGGAGGAAAAATTCGCGCAGTACACTCCGTCGTCGACATTGACACGCAGAACAGAAATGGACCGAATCGAAGGAAGTGACTATATTGCACAAGCGAAGCATGTGTAGCAAATGTTGCAGAAACATGAACAACTATTCTAGTTAGGTAGAAAATTTACCTGGCAGTCACCTGCCGTTGCTGAGTTGGCAACGCACATGCTAGAGTAGTTGTCGGAACGTTTTGCGTGAACGTTCGCGACTATCGTCGCTTCGTTCCTATATGGTTCTGGTCCTTCCCATTGTATTCTATTATTCTCTTTTCATAGTGAAGCTATGTTCAAGCATTCTCTCAACACTTAGAATTTTCTCAAGGCACTACAACAAGATTTCGTGCCCCAACCTAGAGTGCACATTTCGTGACGGATCCCGTGCCCATAATTTCGTGCCCAAGCCTTCCCGAAATTTAGAAATCTCCGCAGTACCTTCCCCCGCCTCGCGCTTGATCTTCACGCGGCAGCTCAGAGCGGCACTCCAGTGGACACTCTCCGCTTCTCGGCGGAGCTCCTTCATGTGATGGCGGGCTGTCTCCTCTCGATGCTTGAGGCGGAGGGGGCTGGCCTGTACACGCAGTAGCGCGTCGCTGCGTGTAGAACTGCATGTTGTCTCTCTTTGTGCTCGTATTCCCTGCTTGCTTGTCTTGTGTGTGCTTCAATTAGTCGTGGTCTTGTGTGACTGTCTTGCCACCCGAAACGCGCGACCGAAGGCCGCGCTTGCGAGCGGCGGCGGCCGAAGGCCGCCGGCGCGAGCCGCCGAAAATGAAACCACACCGAAATAATGAAGAGAAACCAGCACAAGCAGCCCTTAAATAGGCCGGGAGGGCAGAGGGCAGAGGGTTGAGCAGAGGGCAGAGGGCTAAGGTGTCCTCTCTCTCTCTCTCGCTCTCAGCCGCCGAAAATGAAACCACACCGAAATAATGAAGAGAAGCCAGCACAAGCAGCCCTTAAATAGGCCGGGAGGGCAGAGGGCAGAGGGTTGAGCAGAGGGCAGAGGGCTAAGGTGTCCTCTCTCTCTCTCTCGCTCTCAGCCGCCGAAAATGAAACCACACCGAAATAATGAAGAGAAGCCAGCACAAGCAGCCCTTAAATAGGCCGGGAGGGCAGAGGGCAGAGGGCTAAGGTGTCCTCTCTCTCTCTCTCGCTCTCAGCCGCCGAAAATGAAACCACACCGAAATAATGAAGAGAAGCCAGCACAAGCAGCCCTTAAATAGGCCGGGAGGGCAGAGGGCAGAGGGTTGAGCAGAGGGCAGAGGGCTAAGGTGTCCTCACTCTCTCTCTCTCTCTCTCTCTCTCACTCTTCCTCAATCTATAGAACCACATTTCTTCAATCATATAAAGCATAGAAATATTAAAACCTCTGATGGGAGTCATTCAATAGTCCCCATGGAAGTTAAATTTTAATATAATCTTGTACATAACTTATATATGGTAGGGACGATTTTGAGTTCACCAAAGCAGTTAGAGTCGAATGAATGGTTCGAAAAGCAAGAGTGCAAGTGAAGAACAAAGAACCACACAGACAGAGGCATTAAGGGGTTGCATTGTCAGCATCGGTCAACTTGCCAAAATGCAACAAGGTACAGAGCACGCCGAATGGTGGAACAAGGGGGAACAGAGAATCACCCAAGTCAAGACAAGCAATGGTTGGTGCGCACATAGAGAATGCACGAGCAGCTAGAGATGGTGCTCTCACATGCTGGTCACCATGCCGTGGGCATCGCATTTCAAACCGTAGGCCAAACTGCAGTTCCCCCCAGCCACCCACCCAGAGAAGGTCCGCCCCCACGCTTGCTGCAAGTCCTGCAGGACTTGCACTGGCGACAGATGGTGGGGGGGGAGGGGGGGTGAGAGGGTGGCAGGAAGGCAAGAGTAAGATTGAAGGAGGGGGAGGGGCAGGGAAAGGAGGAATGAAAAATTGGCTCTCGTCACCTGTGTGTCGCACCCTTCTCTTCCACCCTCTCTCATCAGCCTGCGCTGCACGATTGCGGAATGGACACATGCGATGGTGAGGAATCCAGAAACCAAGGCTGGGAAGATTGAAACTGCTGCATATATAAGCATTATGCCATGGGAGCATGGGCATGCCATGGTGACTGATTCATCCGCTGAATACAATGGTGCCACTGATGATAAGAGGCGTAAACAGGAAAGGAGGTCAGATAGTAAGGGGTAAGTTTTGTTGGGAATGAGCATTCCTGAGCTCCATGAGGCACTCAATCACGTGATTCAAACTACCAACTTCCACTTCTGGTACTACTCGTGGTGTAAATTCTCGTTAATGAGGTGCAGCACTTGCCATTGCTGCACAGGCATTCCTGACAGCACCTGGCAGAAAGCCACCCATAAAATCAGATTTCCGCCCCTATGCCTGCCGGAATTCCAGGCAGCAGTAGTTGCACTGGCGGCAGGGGGAGTAGGAGCCGCAACGGGGCAGTGGAGAGGAAAAATAAGGGGGGGAGAAACACCTATTTAGGAGACGGGAAGAAGAGATAGATCAATTAGCGCATCGATCTCATGCCCTCCATCATCAGAAATCAGTAATGCTGACAGGTGAGATGGGCAAGCACATGGAGATTTCTCCACGCGTGTGGGAAGACAGGGGCCGGCCGACTCTCACCCCACTCTCACCCCCACTCTCATCCCCCACTCTCACCCCCACTCTCACCTCCGCTTTCACCTCCGCTTTCACCTCTACTCCACTCTCACCCCCACTCTCACCTCCGCTTTCACCTTCGCTTTCACCTCTACTCCACTCTCACCCCCCTCTTTAATAGAAACTTCATTCTCCAACAGGGGGCGGCCAGCTCTCACGGGCCCCTTCTCTCTTAGAAACAACATCCTCCGACAGGGGGCGGCCGACTGACGCCAAGTTCGCTCTACAAGGGACGAACCTTGGGAGGACATCCCGAAATTCAAAGCGCAAAAATCACTTCAGAAACAAGGGTGACCCGAAGGTCACCCTCACGAGGTAACCCTCAAGTTCCCACGATGTTCCATGCAGGTTACCTTTCGGAGCTGGCGACGTTATCGAATAGAGCAACAGTTTCGCGCCCCAACGTAACGTAAGCATTGACCAATCGGGTCGCAGCTGAGTTCGTTGGGATACCCCCAGGTTACCCCCACAGCTCCGGACCGAGCCTGCTCGCTTGGTTTATTCACACCGTTTCGGCAACCAAGGCTGACCCCAAACTTTGATACACACGTTTAGGGTAACAGCAGCTCTCTTGAGCAATTGTTGAGAGGCTCTATTCTACCATCGAGGCTCTCAATATTGCGGATTCATTTGATGGGTTAGACAGGTGGCAGCCAGAATTTCGTGCACCAATTACAGTTGTCCAAGTCACTTCAGCAAAACAGCCAGTCACTTCGATATATTTCACCACCCCATCGCCCCCATTTCTCATTCTCTTGTGTTGTCTCGCGATTCTGTTATCTCGCCGCCATGTTCGCATATTCCGCTACTTCAGTGTCGTATACATCGCTGGAAGCTATGGGTGACTGATAACTAGCTTAGTTTTTAGGGTTCCCTTACGTATTAAGCAACGTCATGAACTTGGCGATTTCTAATGCCATCGTCAGATAAGGAGTTCTTATAACATCGTCAGACGCTAATTGCTTTTTCGAACCGTGTGTTTTTCTTGGCAGGCATCGCTAAACGTCGTGCTAATCGCTCATACTTGAAGCTCTGTGAGGTAAGCTTGTCGCCAGTGATTCCCTCGGGCTTTGTGTGCACGCTATGGATGGGTGAACTACCTGAAAAATGTTGTTTGATGGGCGTTGCACCAGTCGTTCCGTTTTGCTTCTTGGCGTCACTCACCTGACCTGTCTTACGTCGCCATTCTTGCAATTCTCCTTACATCACAGTGTGTTTTTCGTATGTTTTTCTGGCTACTCTCCGTCGCGAGCCTCCTATTTTGTCAAAACACGTGCTCTGGTAGGTAAGCCGTTTCCAGCTAACGTGATGTTTTTTGCTTGCTTTGGCCAGCTCTTGACATGACGTGATTCTTCTCGTTTTTACGTGATTCTCTGGCTTTCAGGTGTAACGTGGTCAGCTACTTTCTTCCTGGTGATGTGCTGTATTTTGTAATGTGTTAGTTGTTGTATTGTTGTACTGCCATTTTGCTAATAAAATGTGGAATCTTGCAAGTGCAAGTCATATATATTAGTGTGATATTGTCATAAGAAATAGTGATGGCTCGTAAAGCCCGTATTATCATCTGTAAATAATTGCTGTCATGACTTTTGTAATTATATTACGAGAGCTTTATAGCTTAATCACTAATAATAAATTTTATTGTATCGTATAACTTCTCACTGTTGAAGACATTCACAGCGCGTACGCGGCTTGCGTACGATTCGTTCCCACAAGTTGGGAAGGTATCAAAGGGGTCACGCGTTTCGCGTCTGATTTGCTCCCGCAGGTTGGGAGGGGTTTCCTGTGGGTCACCACCTGTGGGGACCTCGGGGTGACCACGCGAAGTGGTTTTTGCCGAGGTGACCCGCGGGTCACCTAGACGAGGACCCCGGGGTATCCCGCCACGGGGTAAGCTGTGGGTAACCTGGGGGGAGGGTTTTGGCCCAAACTTTTTTGGGATGGAGGCAAAGGGGACACATTCGACTGGAGAAACCGCGGCGAGGCACGCCAGGAAAATGAGTGAGCCGAGCGGAATGATGCGTGCGGCGCCGTCAGTTGCCATCGTCACGGTGTGGCGAGCTTCCAGGAAACCCAACAG